TGAAAGGAAATCAGCATTGTAGATACTTTAAAGATCTGAAATACAATGATGTTCTTTGGTGATACGGTTTGGCTGTGTCCCCACCAAAATCTCATCTTGAATTGTAGTTCCCATAATCCCCACGTGTTGTGGGAGGGACTAGGTGAGATAACTGAATCATGAGATCGGCTTCCCCCATCCTGCTCTCACGATAGTGAGTTCTGATGATACGTGATGGTTTTATAAGGGGTTTTTCCCCCTTTTGCTTGGCACTTCTCCTTCCTGCCACCATGTGAAGGACGTGTTTGTTTCCCCTTCCACCACAATTGTAAGTTTCCTGAGGCCTTCCCAGCCCTGCTGAACTGTGAGTCAATTAAACCTCTTTCCTTTATAGATGACTCAGTCTTGCGTATGTCTTTATAAGCAGTGTGAGAATGGGCTAACACAATAGGAAAGAACACAAATGTCCAATGAATGTGGATTGACTAAATAATGGTGCACCCATACAGCTGAATACAATGCAGCCACTAAATAGTATGTTTCAAAGGAATGGCATGGAAGTAAGCTGACATCTTGTTAAGTGAAAAGCTAGTTATTAAACAGTTTGCAGTAGGTCAGACATTGTGGCTCACATCTGTAATCCCAGCACTTTGGGAGGCTGAGGAGGGTGGATCATCTGAGGTCAGGAGTTTGAGACCAGCCTGGCCAACATGGTGAAACCCCATCTCTACTAAAAATACAAAACTTAGCTGGGCATGCTGGTGTGCGCCTGTAATCCTAGCCACCCTGAAGGCTGAGGCAGGAGGATTGCTTGAGCCTGGGAGGTGGAGGTTGCAGTGAGCCGAGATCACGCCCTTGCACTCCAGCCTGGGCGACAGAGCGAGAATTTGTCTCAAAAACTACCACCACAACAAAAACCAGTTTGACTCCATATTCTAGGACATAAGGACACACATAAAAAATAGTTTACTAATTTGGGGTTGGTGAGTATGGTTAGAATTAAAAACAAAAATTCTGTTTGGTTGCTTGAGCCCCACGCACTGTAGTAGCAGGAAACCCAGCCTTTCTGTACTGCGGTCCCTGGTCTGCTTTCCTTCTTCCTCCCTCCTCCCTTCTTTCTCCTTTCTCTCCTTGCATGAATCGATCAAGAGCCTTGAGCTTGCCTGGGTTCAAGTCGCACATTCTAGCTGTGCGTGACCCTAAGCTCGTTTTTGGGCTCCTCATCTGTAAAATAGGACCTCTCTTTTAGGACCGTTGTCCTAGAAGATTAATGAAATAATACATGTAAGAACTTAGGACAGTGCCTGCCACACAGCTATCTCTGGAAGTTGTTGTTGTTATTATTATTACATAATGCTATCACTGTTGATATGGTTTGTCTCTGTGTCCCCACCCAAACCTCACCTCTAATTGTAATCCCCACATGTTGAGGGAGGGCCCTGTAATTCCCATGTGTTGAGGGAGGGAGGTGATTGGATCGTGGGGACGATTCCCCCATGCTCTTCTCATGATAGTGAGTTCTCATGAGAGCTGACTGTTTTAAAGTGTGGCACTTCCTCTTTTTTGCATGCCCTCTCTCTCCTGTCGCCTTGTGAAGATGATGCCTGCTTCCCCTTCCGCCATAACTGTAAGCTTCCTGAGGCCTCCCCTGCTGTGTGGAACTGTGAGTCAATGAAACCTCTTTCCTTTATAAATTATCCAGTCTTGGGGATTTCTTTGTAGCAGTGTGAGAACAGACTAATACAATTGTTATCAGCTGAATTGTCTCCCCAAAATTCATATACTGAAGTCCTGACCGCTGGTACGTCAGGATGCAACTGTATGTGGAGATAGGGCCTTCAAAAAGGTAATTAAGTTAACATGAGGTCAGATGAGTAGACCCTAATCCAATGGGACTGGTGTCTTCATACAAAGAAGAGATTAGGGCACAGACATGCACAGAGGGACGACCATGTGAGGACGCAGGGAGAACGGCCATCTATAAGCCAAAGGGCCTCAGAAGGCTCTGCCCATGCCTTGGTCTCTGATTTCTATCCTTCAGAACTGGGAGGATATGTGCGTCTGTTGGTTAAGCCCCTCCCCAAACCCCGGTCTGTGGTAACTTGCTAGGCAACCCTTGCCAACAAGCACAATATTATCACAGAGTAAAGAAGCGGCCAAACTGCATTTCAAACTGGCAGGATTCTCCCTCCTGCACACTCAATATGACGGTTTCCAAATAATTTGAGGTCAGGAGTTCGAGACCAGCCTGGCCGACATGGTCAAACCCCGTTTCTACTAAAAATACAAAATTAGCGGGTCATGGTGGTGCACGCCTGTAATCTCAGCTACCCGAGAGGCTGAGGCAGGAGAATTGCTTGAACCCGGGAGGCAGAGTTGCAGCCAAGATCACTCCATTGCACTGCAGCCTGGGCGACAAGAGCAAAATGGTGTCTCAAAAAAAAAAAAAAGAAAAAGAAAAGAGAAAAACAAAAAACACAAAAAACCCATCGTCAGAACATAAATGAAGATACAATAGTTCTTAGTTTGGTGGGATTGTGGGCAAACTTCAGGAACATTACCTTGACTTTTGATTTAATCTCATTATGCTCTATTTTCAGTGAACTCTTTTTAAAGAGTACCCTGGGCTGATGTATGGCCAGCTAGTTTTTCAGGCTCCTGCCCTGTACCTGCAGACATGCAGATTGCTGTTGCAAGGGTGATCTGTGCCGTTTCTTACTACTTCCTCATCCCTTCCACTTTCATTTACTTTTTAAAAAAATTAGGCCGGGCACAGTGGCTCATGCCTATAATCCCAGCACTTTGGGAGGTCGAGGCGGGTGGATCACCTGAGGTCAGGAGTTTGAGACCAGCCTGGCCAACATAGCGAAACCTCGTCTCTACTAAAAATATAAAAATTAGCTGGACATGGTGGCAGGCACCTGTAATCCTAGCTACTCAGGAGGCTAAGGCACGAGAATTGCTTGAACCTGGGAGGCAGGGGTTGCAGTGAGCTGAGATCATGCCACTGCACTCCAGCCTGGGCGACAGAGTGAGACTTTGTCTCAAAAAAAAAAAAAAAAACAAAAATTAAAATTTTTTTTTTCTTTAGAGACAGGATTTCACTGTGTTGCAGAGGCTAGACTCAAAGTCCTGGGCTCAAGTGATCCTCCTGCCTCAGCCTCCCAAGTAGCTAGGATTAACACATGAAAGCCAACATGCTTGGCCATTTACTTTTTTTTTTTTTTTTTTTGAGACGGAGTCTCGCTCT